TCTGACCCATGGTGCGAGAAATATTCTTAGGGGAGAGGGGAAAAAGGTTATTCATATTCAAGCTACTCACTGAGGTATGGGATCCCCAGGGTCTGCAACACCCTTCAGTGAGGTCCACTTGTAACTGAACACTGGAAGTGACCTTTCCATCCTCCCAGGAAGCTAGATCTCTGTCTGGACATCCTCCATCAAGTGACACCTCTCTCCCTGGATGTACTTGGATGATTTCTCTTCTTATTCTAAGGGTACTGTTCAAAGGCACCAGGTAACAAAGACTGTTAGGATCCAGCCCCTCTATAGTCTTTTCCCAGAGTTCCAGAAGAGATGCTACCAGTGACAAATTAATTAATTAGAGGGATTCTCAAATCTATGTACACAAAACTCTTTAGTCCATTCACTTCATTCTTCTCAGTCAGTTCTCTCTACACAGCTTCTTTTCTGCTCTCATACTTAGCTCCTACTTCTCCTGATTCTCTCTATTTTTTTTTTTGCTCTTAATTTTCCCTCCTTAGTTCTTCCCATCTTAATTCTACCCCATCTAGTTCTTCTTCCCCATCTAGTTCTTCCCATCTTAGTTCTTTCCCATGTCATTCCTCCTGTTGTAATTCTTCCTCATCTTAATTCTTCATCCCATTTCTCCAATCCAGTTCTCTCAAGTCGCTGAGGTTTACAGTTATATACCCATGCAAACAGCAACGCTCTGGCCAAAGCAAGCTCACACGGCTTGAGTTCTTTTAGGGTCAAACAGAGAGGCAATAAGATCCACACAAAGAGCAGTAACTGTCAGCTATCAATTTCAACCCACAAGGGAAGTGACTAATGGGGCATAGAATCAACTGAGGGCTGAATTTGGTTGATGGATCTAAAAAAGGGCATTTATGTGCTCAAACTATATTCTTGGAAGTGGTTGGTTAAAATGTTAAGAGCCTATAATTTGCTAAGTCACAGGTGAAAATAAAACTGCCTTATTTTCCTTTGGAACCATGTCTGTCTCAGCCTAGTCTCAGCGGTTCCATTTTCTGGCAGGGCAGGAGTAGCTAGGCAGCCTGTGTCACAGCTTGATGTACCTGATAAGTAAAAGCCCTTTTGTTCTGAATTAGTTGTTAAAAGGGAAGTCTAGAGCTACCACTAGGGCTTTGGGGAAAAGGAGGATTTAAGCTTAATTTGCACAAGAAAGAAGGCTTTGTACCTAACATCCACCTGGCCTTGGTGGTTGTCTCAGTATAGATATTTACCTTATTTCAGGAGGCTAGTGGGTGGTCTGGATGCTTATCTATCTGCAGTTTGTCCTTGGATGTTTGAGAGGTATCTCAGATAAAATGCTCTTGTCCTTAGATGGCCATGGCCTGGATACTTGCTAAAGGAGATCATTACAGAAGGCAGATTATCTGATTCTAATGCTAGAAAGGGGAAACAAAAGCCTGGAAAAAGGAAGTCTTGCTGGTGTGACTGTTGTCAACACAGTTGGGGGAAGTTATCCAAATACCTTGATTGTATGGGGAAAAACTGTGCCCGATGAATGATCAGTCACACTGTTAGAAGTTCTTAGAATCAAATGGGAAAGCTATAATAGCACACATGAAAATCATAGCAGGAAGTGGCTAATGTTCAAAAGGCAGCATCACCAAGACTCCTCAAGCCTTGGCTTTATCCTCTTGAAAAACTTGGCTTCTTCCAGGGGCAGCTTTGTCATAGCCAGCCGAATTCCTACTTCATATTTCCGCACACCACAGCAGTTCTCTGTTTCTGTTTTGTTCATCTGAGCCCTCTGTTTGTTTGTTTGTTTGTTTGTTTCATCTTGGGTGTGCTGTACTTCTTTTTGTTCTAGAGTTTTCAGGTGTGCTGCTAAGTTGCTAGAATGAGATCTCTCCAGTTTTGCTGTGTAGATACTTAATGCTATGAACTTTCCTCTTAGCACTTAGGACTTTCATTGTCCTGTAAGTTTGGGTGTGCTCTGTATTCATTGTATTGAATTCTAGAAAGTCTTTTATTTCTGCCTTTATTTCTGTCTTGACCCATTTTTCATTCAGTGGAGAGTTGTTCAGTTTCCATGAGTTTATATGATTTCTGTTGTTTCTGTTACTGAAATCCAGGTTTTCCCTGGTGATCTGATAGGATGCAGGGAGTCATTTCAATTTTTTTTTTTTGTATCTGTTCAGACTTGCTTTGTGTCCTAGAATGAAACTCCTTCTCAGTTTTGGAGACAGTTCCATGAGATGCTGAGAAGATATTTTCTTTTGTGTTTTGGTGAAATGGACTGTAAATATCTGTTAGATTCATTTGGTTTATAACATCTGTTAGATACTTGAGTGCCTTTGTATTTGGGGCATAGATGTTAAGAATTGAAATGTCATTTGGTTGAATTTTTCCTTGGATAAGTGTGTAGTGTCCTTCCCTATCTCTTTTGACTAGTTTTGGTTTGAAGTCTATTTTGTTAGATATAAAATGGTGATGCCAGCTTGCTTCTTAGTATATCTTTTTCCAATCCTTCGCCCTGAGGTAATGTCTATCCTTGATGTTGAGGTGTTTTCTTGGGTACAGCAGAAAGATGGATCATGTTTCATATCCATTCTGTTAGTCTGTGTCTTTTTATTGGGCAATTGAAAACATTGATATTAAGAGATATCAAAGACCAATTATTATTTATTCCTGTCTTTTTTTTTCTTGATGCTTTTATTGTTGGTAGTGGTGGTGATGGAGGTGGTGTGTGTGTGTATGTGTGTGTGTGTGTGTGTGTGTGTGTGTGTGTGTGTGTGTGTGTGTTTGTGTGTTTGGGTCTTTGGGTCTTTGGGTTTTGCTGGTGAGAGATTATTTATTTCCTGTGTTTTCATGGGTGTAGTTAACCTCCTTAGGTTGGAGTTTTCCTTCTAGAACCTTCTGTAAGAGCTGAATTTGTAAATAGATATTGTTTAAAAGTTTGACTTTATCATGGAATATCTTTTTCCTTCTATGGTAATTGAAAGTTTTGCTGGGTATGGAAGTCTGGGCTGACATCTGTGGTCTCTTAGAGTCTGCTGCACATCTTTTCTGACTTTTAGTCTCCATTGAGAAATCAGGTGTAATTCTAACAGCTCTACTTTTATACATTTCTTGGTCTTTTCCCCTTGCAGCTTTCTTTGTTCTGTATGTTTAATGTTTTGATTATTATGTGGCAAGGGGACTTTATAGTCTGGTCCAATCAATTTGGTGTTTTGTATGCTTCTTGAACCTTTGTAGGCATCTCCTTCATTAGGTTAGGAAAATTTTCTTCTTTGATTTCATGAAAAATATTTTGAGGCATTTGAGCTGCCTTTCTTCTTACTCTATTCCTGTTATTCTTAGTTTGATCTTTTTCTTTCTTTCTTTCTTTCTTTCTTTCTTTCTTTCTTTCTTTCTTTCTTTCTTTCTTTCTTTCTTTCTTTCTTTCTTCTTCCTTCCTTCCTTCCTTCCTTCCTTCCTTCCTTCCTTTCTTTCTTTCTTTCTTTCTCTCTTTCTTTCTTTCTTTCTTCCTTTTGATAGGTAGTTTTTCTAGACAGGGTGTCTTTGTATAGTTCTGACTGTCCTGGAACCAACTCTGTGGACCAGGCTGGCCTTGAACTCACAGAGATCCTCCCAGGTGTTAGGATTAAAAGATTGTGCCGCTACCACCCAGCCATGTTTGATCTTTTCATAATGTTTCAGATTTCCTGTATGCTTTGTGTTGGGGTTTTCTGGGGGGGGGGGTGTTTTGTTTTTGATTTTTAGATTCAACATTTTTTGACCAATATGTACATTATTTCTATCATATCTTCAATGTCTGAGATCCTCTCTCCCATCTCTTGCATTCTGTTAGTGAAGCTTGCCTCTGTATGCTCTAAGTCTTAAATTTTTCATTTCCAGAATTCGCTTGGTTTGTGTTGGGGTTTTGTGGTTATTGTTGTTATTTTTATTTTTGGTTTTATTTTTTTTTATTGCCCATATTTTCATTTTCAGGTCTTGAACAGTTTTATTCATTTCCTTCCATGTTTGTTTGTTTCTTCTTGAATTGCTTTAGAAGATTCATTCATTTCCTCCAGTTGTTTGTGATTTCCTGGATTTCTGTAAGGGATTTTATTCATTTCCTCCTTAAGGAACTCTATCATCTTCATATCATTGGTTTCAAGGCCTTTTTCTTTTGCTTCAGCTATGAGGAAATATTCATGGCTTGCTGTGGTCGGTAGCTGGGCTCTAGGGCAGACATATTGCCCTGGCTATTATTGGTTGTGTTCTTATGCTAGCATCTTGGCATCTGGGTTTGGGGTGATTATAGGTCTGGGTGCTGATTTCTGGGTTTATCTTTGTTGGGTAGGTGTGTTTGTTCCGTGGTTTCTGTTTCCTCTCTGGATTTTTAGAGAGTGTGGTGGCTGTGTATTGCCTGTTTTACTGGCCCGCTCAGCTGGTGTGTTCACAAGGAATGGCTGCTGGTGCTGGAGGCTGGGATGCAGTGAGGAGACCGGGAAGGGAAGACAGGAAGGAATGGTTTGTGGGGTCCACAGAAGATGTGGGCTGAGAGGAAGGGAGGCTGCAGCTGGTGTTCTGTCACAGGACTAGGGAAGAGACTGAGGAATTGAGGCTGGGGGAACAGAGAGAGCTGAGAAGGTCTGTGGGCAGCCTACCTAGTTTTCTGGCCTATTATTGTGCACATGAATTGGGTAAGCTTATAGTAACCTTCCTGTATAACAACAACTCTACTATGTGATGAATGTCCTGGGGAAAGCAAGCCTTCAGGCTTTGGCGTAAGTAGGATGTAGATTCAAGCTTGGCTTGTGGATTGAAGGACTGGCTTTATGTGAATTTCTGGCTGATTGAATTTATGTGACTCTCTTAATGTCTCACTCTATTGCCTCATTTTTCAAGTGAGGATATTGAAACTGCGAAGAGGCATTTGAGTGGTTTCTAAATTGAATGTACAATGAGTTTGATATGAAGTCACTATGTTTTCCCTGCCTACTCTTTCTATGATTATTATGACCATAAATTTTAAAATGCATTGTATGCCTTAGAATTCCAGAACTTTTGTCCTGGCTGAAACAGTTTCAAATAAAATTGCATAATCCTCCGACGGTCCACTACCCACCCAATCAAGGACAGATGGATCTCTGCATCACATCCGGCTGCCAGGATGGTCTCTGTAAGGTAAGAATGGAAGAGAAGGAAGGTTCTGTAGAGAGTCAAGCACACTCCTAAATGTGGTCATCTCCCACATACTATAATGTTTTGTGGGCTACTAGGAGGCCTTTTTCTCTTCAGCTAGGATAATAAACAGGAAATTCAAAGTCAAAAGACAGGATGGGGAAAGACTGATGGTACATAAAAGTCAGGCACAAGTGCTTTGGGTTGATCAATTGATATTAGAAATCAAAATAACCTGTTCTTTTTGTGTTTAGAAAAAGAAAAAGAATCAGCTACTGTGTAGATTTTTGCCAGAGGAGAAACATTTGTGGTTCTGTGGACTGACACTTAGGAATTCTCTCAAAGAAATGACTTTCATTGGCAAGCATATTGTGACCTTTCCTTGTGGAAAGAGACAGAAAAGTGTTTCTTCACTATCTGTTACAATTCCAGTCATATCAAAACAGGAAGTTAGTATAAGTGGCTTTATCATGGAGATGATAGCAATAATATTTGTTCCCTGTGTCCCATGGTAGCTGGTTTGGCCTTGTATTTGAATTCTTTCTTTTTTTGTTTTTAAAGCAAATTAACCTCATTTCTACCGGGATACGTTAACAATAGATTTTTTTAATGTCTCTTAAAGCTATTTTATTTTTTAATGTATTCTGAGAATTTTATAAATGAATACAGTGATTATGATCATTCCACCCCATATTTCCTCCCTCCAAGTCTCTTGAACCCACAAACATGTCTTCCTCCCAAATTCACAGTCTCTTCCTTTTTTTTAATAACTGGCTAAGTCCAGTTAACCCTTTCTATAAATTTGTGGGTGTGGGACCACCCACTGGAGTGTGGGCCACCTACCAGCAGCCACATATGCCAGAAAGATAATCCTCTGTCTCTGGCAGCTGCCAACTGCCACTAGCTCCTCTGTTAGGGGTGAGCCTATGAGACTTTCTCCCCCTTTTAATCTCCATTCTTTAATCAGTGCCAGCGGTAAAGAACATCTCCCCTTTCAGTTGGGACATGTGGTATCTGTAGGCCCCCTAACCATGGGAAATGTACATGATAAGCTGTTCCTTTCCTTTTTCATCAAGGCTTATGTCAGTCATTCAGCTGGTTTGCTTGGTGACAGGATGTCTTGTGATGGCCTGGTCCATTAGGAACGTTTGGGAGGAATATGTTTTCTGTAAGATGTCCAAAGCTCAGAAAGAAAAAGATAAATGAAGGACCAGGTCAAATCAGAGCACAAAAGTTAAATCATCTGGCTCAGTTGAAAATTGCCCTATTTTTATTCCAACATATAGGCAATTAAACTGACAGGAAGAAAGACTTGAGGCAGGGACTGTGTAATACGGCATAAGGTAGGGAGGGTTTGCTCTGTGGCTTGTGTACAGTTCAGTCATGATAGACCCACACATTTGGACTGGAAACATTTTTGCCTGCAGCAACGGACCTCAGGAGTCTTCACACAGTCCACACCACCGAACCTTGTCACACTTACCTGCTAAATACTGTTGAACAGCACTGACCACACCATCCTTTTCTTGTTACGCCACCTCTCTCGGCCGGTGGCTCTCCTCCGTCAGACTTGTGTGGCCTCCTTTGCGTTATCCTCCTTGGCTTAGCTCTGATTTCCTGGAGTCACAGCTCAGTCCTTGAGTATATCTGCATGCTGCATCTGAGTGCCTTTGCTCATATCCAGGTGATGAATCACATGCCCACCATTCCCAAACACTTTCCAAATGCATTTGTCCATTTGTCTATCCACCACTACAACAGGATGTTTAAGGGGGAAAAAAAAAAACTAAACTAAACGACTCCTCTCAATCAGATGCGGGCTACTTTTTGGCCCTGTGTTTAAGTGATGGACACTAAAAATCTTCAGCTCTTCCTCCTTAGTCCCTTATAGTCCATAAGCATCCCCATTGCTTTTCATTTCCTCAGTACCTCTCAGGCCTTCCCTACAGTGCTACCTCTCTAGCTCAGACTACCTGTGTCTGCCCTTGGGACCATGTCAAAAACTTCCCAAACAGTCCTCCAGACTTCCACCTGCTTCTCCCTCTTCTCTTACTATTTTATACTGCAGTCAAAAGAATCTTCCTAAACCGCATATTTGATAACATGGCTCCCCTTTCCCTTCTGAAGTCCTTAATCACCTCCTGTGGCCTGAATAATTATGTGGGGTAGTCTCTTCTTGCCCACACCCACCTACTTTCTCTCTTCACCCTCTTCACACTTCACCTCAAGTCCCAGAAGTCTCCCAGTTTATGGTTTACCAAAAGGTCCCGGTTGTCCTTGGTTCCTACATACACCAGGACATCACCTCCTCGATGGAGTCCTACCTAATTTCTCTGAGTGCCAGCGTCCTGCAATGAGATGTCCACACAGATTTGGCCTCTCTGTTGAGATAATTATCTGATCAGTGTCTGGCTCTCCCAGAGGGATCAGCAACTTCATGAGAGTAGGAACCTGGTCGTTTTGCCAAGGATTTTATCTCCAGTCCTCTTCCCTGGCCTGATTCATAGTCGATAAATAACACATTTTCCAAAAAATAAATAAAAGGGACAGATGGATTTTAGGAGCCAAACCAGTTATGTTCTTTTTCATTTTACCTTACAGCAGGGGTCAACAAACTGCTGGATAGCAAAATCCAGGCTGTTAGCTAAGTTGGTAAATAAAGTTTTATTGGCACACAGATTGCCTGTGACTGCTCTCTCACTATAGAGGCAGAGCTGAGCAGCAGCAACAGAAACACTGTGGCTCACAGGGCAGTTATTGCCTAGCCCTCACAGGAAAACTTCCAAATCCCCCACTAGGTCCTGTGAGCACAAACGACGTTCTCAGAGTGGGCGCCATTTTTTCCTCGCTAACCTATGCTTCTTTTGTCAGGTGTTTGAAATGCTCATCAATCCTGGAGACACTATCCTCGTAAACGAACCTTTGTTTACAGGAACCCTTTATGCTGTAAGTACACATTTTTACAAAAGAGCAAGTCTCTTCCAGCCCTTTAGAATATCTGTCACCTCAAAGACCTTTTTAAGAGAAGAGTTCTTCCTTTGCAACCAAGCTTAATAATGTCAGTGTTTCAAACTGATGTGGTTTATGACCATCTGAGCATCCATTTGGTCCCCAACCTGTCTCTCACAGTAAAGTCACTGTCATTACAGTTTACCGTGATGCTTGATTGTGTGTGACAGTTGAATTCTGAGTGTGTGATATGTTATTAATCATATTAACATCAAAACACTAAGGTCAAAGCTGCTGTTCTAAAAAAGAAAATTGTATTTTTTTTTTTTTTTTTAAAAAAGGCAGTTTAGGGAACTGAGGAGGCATTTCAGGGATTAAAATGTTGGCTGATGCAAGGAGAGGACAAAAGTTCAGATGCCCAGAATCCAAATAAATTCTGGTGGGGGTGAGACCTACCTGTAATTTCAGACTCGGAAGGCAGAGCCTGGGAACCCCCAGAGCCAGCTGCCTGTCTAACTAGCTATGTGTCGGGATTCTGGATTGGAATCCAGACTTAACGAACAAGGTGGAAGATCAATAGAGGATGATTTCCCAACATCAGCCTTGGGTCTATGCATGCACCACACAAACACACAAACACATATATACACATACATACACACACATACATACACACACATACATACATACACATACACACACACACATACACACACACACACACACACACACACACACACACACACACACACACACACACACACGTACAGGAGGAAAGTAGACCAAGAAAAAAAAAAGGCATTCTGTATTAAATTGCTTTTAGAGAGTCTTTGGTTTCAGTGAAGTTTTCTGGAACCCCGTGGCTGTTTTTGGTTATTTACTCTCAACAGCAATGAACTACTACCACCACACAGTCATAAGTTTAAGGAGTCAGGGAGAGTGTGTTCCAATCCCTTGGCACCAAGTGGAAATGATCGATTTGTGTTACAGGAAAAACAGTTATAGCTATAGTATGTTTTGAAACATCCAGGATAGGATGGGGAAGGCAAAGGGGCGTTGAGGTGTAGGTAAAAGTTTTAGTTTAAAAAGAAAGTTTAAGTAAATGGAATTATTTTAACTAAATATATTGAATTTGACCTGGGTGTTTTTTGAATCAAATTGTTAAGTTAACTTAAACTGTGGCTGAGTTTCAGACAGAAGTGTCTGTGGTTATGTGTGAGTGAGTGTTCTGTGAAGCCATCTGTGCTTTGTGGGACTTAATGACTTCAAATACTGTATTGTACATAGGGGAGATGTTACCTTCCTATTTGTATGCTTATGATATACCTTCATATTTGAAACGATACATTCTGTAAAGTGCACTTACATTTCCAAACCAGATTGGATTTTGTGCTGTTTTTCCTTGAATTCACACCAATATAAGGATATAAACAAACAAAAAACAGTACCTGTCTACTACAAATTATAATTAAGATCTTCATCTGTGACCCAGAGGCTCCTAAAAGGTGTATGAGACACACACTAAGTGTGCCCCATTTCTTCTTTAAAATGGAAAGGAGTATGTCCTGAAGTTACACTGTATAGAAACCATGTCCAATTTCTTAATGTTTCACATCAAACGTGACTCAATTTACAACAACCTGCTTTTTCATTGCCAAGTGCCTAAGTACAGCCATGTTACATGTCGGTTTACTGTAACTGTAAACAAATACGGGACCGCTGGGAGTTTCTGCTCCAGTGTTAGGACCGTGAGGCTGCAACACGCAGGAAGGGGGGGGGGGATCAGCCTCGCCGCTGACTTAGGTTGGTTCAGGGCATCCATTTTAGGATGGCCATGTCCACAAACTGGAGCACCAGCAGGAAGTGCAACTGGAACTAATGGAGAATTTATGGAATAATTAGGTCTGCTTGTCCACGCTGTTAGGGAGGTAGAACTGAAAATTGAAAATAGATTCTTTTCTCATCCAATATATCCTGATTATAATTTCCCCTCCTTCTCCTCTTCCCAGTTTCTCCCCATCTCCCCTCCCCTACAGATCCACTCTCTGTCTCTCATTAGAAAAGAATTCTAAGAGATAACCAAACATGACAAAATAATACATAATAAGATGAAGCAAAAACTTTCCTGTCGAAGTTGGGCACCGGAATGCAACAGAAAAGAGTCCCAAGAGCAGGCACAAGAGTCAGAGACTCACTCGTTTGCACAGTCAGGAATCCCATAAAAATACTAAGTTAATAGCTATAATACATACTCAGAAGAACTGGTATAGACCTATGTGGGTCCCGTGCTTGCTGTTTCAGTCTCTGACCTCATGTGTGCTGTGGTGATATATTGTGTACCCCAATATGTTGTGTACCCTAGTAAACTTATCTGGGGATTAGAGGACAGAGCCAGACACTAGATTAGACATAGAGACAAGGCAGTGGTGGCACACACCTTTAATCTTAGCTTTCAGGAGGCAGAGATTGATCCGGATCTCTGTGAGTTCAAGGCCACACTGGGAAGAGAGCCAGGTGTGGTGGCACATGCCTTTAATCCTAGCACTAACTAGCCATAGAAGTCTGGGGGTTCTGGACAGACAGACAGGAAGTGATAGAGCTGGGTGGAAAGAGGGAGTGATGTAGCTGAATGGAGAGAGGAAGTAAGATGGCAGGGCACAGAAAGGTATGTAAGGCGTGAGTATACAGGAAGTAGCTTTCTCTTGGGCTGAGGATTTCCTAGAAGTAAAAACTTGTGGCTGGTTTATTCTATTCCTCTGATCTTTGAGCTTTCACCCTGAAGTCTGGCTCTGGGTTTTTTTTTTTTTTTCTGGGTTTTTTATTAATAAGATTGTTTAGCAATTTGTGTTACAATGTGTCTTGCTTAGCTGGTTCAGAGTGCCTTGTTCTCCTGGCAACCTCCACTCCTCTGACTCTTAACATTTTTCTACCTCCTCTTCCACAGTCTTCACTGAGCTCTGAGGGGAAGGATTTGATGGAAACCTCCAATTTAGACTCGCTCTCCACATAATGTCTGACTGTGGGTCTCTGTATCTGTGAAGGAAACTCTTTCTACTTTTTTTTTTTTTTTTTTTTTTTTTTTTTGGTTTTTCGAGACAGGGTTTCTCTGTGTAGCTTTGCGCCTCTTCTGGAACTCACTTGGTAGCCCAGGCTGGCCTCGAACTCACAGAGATCCGCCTGGCTCTGCCTCCCAAGTGCTGGGATTAAAGGCGTGCGCCACCACTGCCCGGCCACCCTTTCTACTTATAATAAGAACTTCTTAACCATCAGTCTTACCAATCTGCCTAGAGAGACATAATGGCTAGTGTTGGTTGTCAGCCTGATTAAGCTGAGAATTCTCTCTCTCTCTCTCTCTCTCTCTCTCTCTCTCTCTCTCTCTCTCTTTCTCCCTTCCTCCCTCTCTCTCTCTTCTCTCTCCCTCTGTACCTCTTCCCCTCTCTCCCCCTACTCCTTACCTCTACCCCTCACCCTCACCCTCTCTCTCTTTTCCCGACCATCATGATGTGAGCTATATGCTCTCCTTGTCTCCAGGGCTGAAATCTCGGAAACCATAAGCCTATATAAATCTGTCCTTCCTTAAGTAGTTTTGTCTGGATACTTGGTCACAGAATTGCAGGATGCATATGATGTTGCCCATAATCATTCCTAGGTACTGATGAACATGTTCTATCTCTTGTAAGATAATTCTGTCAGAGAAGGCGTGTCTCAAGCGCTGGCAGCTATCAAGCTTTATTTCTCTCACACTGCACACCCAGCCCAAGGCTACCACAGTTCACTCCCTGGCATCTTCCTTCCAAGCCCCAACCTCACAGAAGCACCCTCGGTTGGGCAGGTTGCCAGTCTTGGAGCAAATGGAAAAACACATAGACACCCGAGAGCTGGTGTTTTACAGTTTCTGCTTAGGAAAAAAGAGCACATTGATTGCTGCTCACCTTTGTGAACCAGAATAAGACACACATGACCAAGCTTAATACAGATGAGACTATGAAGTGCAAGCCTTCCCACAGGAATAGATGGGAGCTGTTGCTGGCCTCAGAGGAATGATAGGATTACATTATACAGCTCAACCCTCCGGAGCTTGGAGCTGAGTACAGTTTACATACTTAAGGGCATGAACAGTGCCGTTCTTGACAGGTTTTTAAAAAGAAAATGATGCTTACCTTTAGCAATCATACTGCATTCTTGGGCTTTCTTTTGTCCTCCACAGATGAAACCTTTGGGTGGCAACATTATTAATGTCCCCAGTGATGAGCATGGGATTATTCCAAAGGAGCTCAAAAGAATACTTTCCCAGTGGAAACCAGAAGATTCCAAGGATCCCATGAAAAAGACTCCAAAATTTCTCTATACTGTCCCAAATGGCAACAACCCTACAGGCTACTCATTGACAGGTGACCGCAAGAAGGAAATCTATGAGGTATTTACAAGAGGGTGACAAGGATGTGTCCAGGCTTCTTGTTTATCTGTGGGGAGAGTCTTCAACTCAAGTTGGTTTTATTATAGTCCTCTTGTTTTCAGGGAAGATAGCTTTTAATAAAAGGGGCTCCTTCACCTATGCCAAGCTTCCTACTAAAGTGGTAGACAATAATTGCCACATCTTTTGTTTCTGAATTTACTTTCACTTAGTTGGCATTTCTGTACATGAAAAATGGCCTTCTTGACCACCTGTTGTGAGAACACATTTGGTTTCCATTACTGGATGTTTGTGTTTGCCCTGTGTTTTAGACTTGCTGCATCTATTTGCTACTCATTGTCATTCTGGGCTACAAAGAATTTTTTGAAAAATGATAGGGGACTCTTGTTTCTAAAATCTCCATAGGTACCTATGCGGCCTTGTGCTTTTGCCATTTTTTAATATCAAGCGTATACAGAGCTGTACAAAAATCTGGAAAAAATAAGATAAAAAGCCTTCTGTAAAGTCTTGCTGCTCTACTTGAGTTCCTAGCCTTTCCCTACAAATTGCCTTAAAAATAAATGTTAAGGCCCATTTAACTACATTTAACAGAACCTAATCGTGTGCAGTGGAATCCCAGCCAGATTTCAACCAGTGCCTTTTACCTGGAAAAAAAAAAAAAGGTTCAAGACATTGCTTTGATATTTATATTCTATTTTATCTCCCCTGGGATCTCTCCTGAGCTGTACTATCTACATAGTCCTCTATGACATCATTATCCAGTTCCATGGTTATGAATTTCATTTTGCATGAGATGATTTCCCTCTCGCTCAGCTCCATCTCTTCCCTGAACTCCAACTTCGGTATCATTGTGATATCTCAGTTGATGACCGATGGCATTTCAAGCATAACCTGGCCCAAATAGAACTCCTAGCTTTTCCCGAGCCCCAACCCTAACCTTCTCATGTACAACCAGCCCCATCATGCTCTCCAGCCTCATTAATAATGCCCATAAACAATTACCTTCCTTTCTCTTTTTCTCTCTCTTCTCCCTTCTTGTATCCAATTCATCCTGTGGACTCCACCACCAAGATCCTCTAAGTTGGCCCCTCTTCTCCACCACTGCTCCCACCCCCACTTCCTAAGCCACTGTCTGTCCACACTGTATGACAGACAGCAGGACATCATCACTCACCCTGTTACATTTGAGTCATAGTGTCTAACTGGTCACTGTTTGCATGGCAACCAGTCCTAGCCCCTGCTGTATGGTAAATGAAAATTTGGCCTGTGGCTTTCGAAATTCTAAAAGTTAAATAATTTTGTTACAAGTTAGTAAAGCTGTGTGACAGCGTTACTTGTTTCTCAATCTCTCTTTCTCTCTCTCCCTCCTCTCTCTCTCTACACCTCAGCTGCACCCTATATATACCAAAGCCATACTGTCCTCTTCTGTCTTTTCATCACCCCAGGTTTTTGTTCACTCCATCCCTCAGTATAGAATCCTCTTCCTTAAATTTGCATAACTAATTTAGTCTGATCATCTTGAGTTCTAATGTTACCTTGTCAGGAAGAGCTCCCCAGAGGTTTGACCAGAGTAATTTTCTGTCTTAGTTGGGGTTACTCTTTGCTATGATGAAACACCATGACCAAAGCAATTTGTAGAGGAAAGGGTTTATTTGGCTTATGCTTCCATATCACAGTTCTTCATCAAAAGGAAGTCAGGACAGGAACTCAAGCAGAGCAGGAACCTGAAGGCAGGAGCTGATGCAGAGGCCATGGGGGGATGCTGCTTACTGACTTGATCCACATGGCTTACTCAACCTGCTTTCTTAAAGAACCCAGGACCACCAGCCCAGGGATGGAACCACCCACAGTGGGCTGGGTCCTCCCCCATCAATCACTAATAAAGAAAATGCCTTACACCTGGATCTCCAGGAGGCATTTTCTCAATTGAGAGTTCCTCCTTTCAGATAACTCGAGCTTGTGTCAAGTTGATATAAGACTAGCCAGCACACTATCCTATCACTCTCCCTCAGATGTGACCTCTATTTAATTCTTATTCATCACCCAGCTGGCTTATGCACATTCTGACTTGCATGAGAAAAAGAGCCTTTAGCAACTCATTCATCTCTAACCTCAATGTCTAGGATATCAGAAACTCAACAGTTCATGAGTGGATGAATGAGAATAAAGAACTGTGATTCCAATCATTTTCATTTCAGACAACTCCTAAGAAATAAATATATTGTTTTAACCTTTTAGCTTGCAAGGAAATATGATTTCCTCATAATAGAAGATGATCCTTACTATTTTCTCCAGTTCAACAAGGTATGTGATCTTCTTACGTCACTATCGGAAGATCATTTGTTGTAAGTTATTAGCTGCAATGAAAGTGAACCTGACTTGAGTCAAAGGTACTTTTTGCTCTCACAATGAACTTGAATACATAGTTAGTGCGTTCTCTATAGTTTTTCCATCTTCCAGTCTTGCCGGTTTTCTTTTTTGTATTAATGCTCCTTCTAGAAGTTAGTTCCCTTTGGAAGAACAGCTAGTTCTCTGAAACATGCATTTAGATGAGCAGAGCCCATCAGGCTGGTGGTGCTGAACTCCAAATCCTGTTTCACATTACCTCAGACATCAAATGAGGGCCATGGCATTGGCTTTGTTGGGTCCAAAGTCTCGCAATAATGGTGAACAGACCACCAAAGTTTATTAAACCAGAAGCAAACTTTACTCCAGAAAAATAAAAATAAATTAAATAAATAAAACACCATGGGACACAAAAGCTTCTCAGCTAGCTGAGACCATAGCCAATGTTGGAATTCTGAGACTGTGGCAATGAAGGCGAGTACCAGCCCCCTTTTATATTATCAGGCATGGGGTGCATGCTAGGAGCCATGTAGAAACATCAGGCATTGGATGCATGCCAGAAGTCACATAGAAACAACTATTAAAAGTTAACTTCGGTCCAGGCAGTTGTTGACTATAAGGGGCAAGGGGGTTAAAAGTTAACCCCTGGCTGTTGACAGAGGAGCGGGCTGTAAAGCAGAGAGCCAGTTAGCAGTTAACCTTTAGAGCTGATGACTGTCGGTTTTCACCTCTTAAGCTTCTAATTTTATATTTCTATGTTCCTGGGTCCTTCAGTTTCATCTTGTATTTCACCTTCAGTCTGGTGACAGTAGCTGACTTGAATGATAGCAAAGGGGGGATGAGATAGTATTCAAGCTGAAGGGGAAACAGGGCTGTGCTCAGTCAATGCTCTCCATAGATACAGAAGAAAGCGCTGAAGCCACATAATTGCACCCTTGTCACATGCTCCGAGCCTTATCTGAAGGATCAAGGGTTTTTTAAGTCATCCTCACTCTAAGCGTGTGCTGCATTTCATGATGACCGTTTTCCAGCAGGCAGTCGTAGTGGTACAGGCTGAACCAGTACATGCCCTCAGGACTACAGACATCCATCCTACACTTGGATTCAGTTCCTCCCTTTACATCTGCTGAGAAGACACAAAACTTCTTTGCTGCCTAGTTTTGCAGAGCATGATTTGCCCTGCCCCCGCTCCCTCCCTGAGTGTGACCGTGAACCCCTTTCTCGCTTGCCCCTACTTTCAAAGAAAATCTTAGTGTCTGTAGGGAAAAGTCGGCTCAGGAACCCCAAGACCACACTCGCAGCTCAAAGGAGATTTATTTGCCCCAGACGGACAGAGGGCAGGGAATAAGAGACAAAGACAGAAGATAGAGAGTGGGAGAGAAGAGGAAGAGAACAAGAGAGATGAGAAGGCGTGTTTGTCCTGGGGCGTGGGCAGGATAAAAGAACTGTCTCTGGATAGAGAGGAGACAGACTAGCCCGTAGGCAAATGACAGGTTATAAAAGTGAGAGACCCAGTGTTCCGAAAAGGTATTCAGTTTTATTTGGTATGTTAATTAGGTGAGCCAAAGGGGGCTTTGGATTGCTGGACTTCAGTACTTTGATAGCTGGACCTTGATAGTCAGCCTCGGCAGGAGAGTTTGGCCAAATAAGGGAATAGACCTGGGGCCTTGCTTTAGGAACGTAATCTAATGGTCTTTAGCAAGGCAGGAGGGCTCAGAGAGAAGGACAAGGCCGGCCAGAGCCATGTTTGCCACACTCAGGATGGCCAGAGTCCCTTCAGTGCCAGCATGCAACATTAACTAAATTTCTCACCTGCCTTCGCATCCGTTTTTGTCTTTCTAGTCAGTTCCAAGGATCACCATTGTATCTGAACAACAAACACCAAACAGTGCTGGTCATCTTATCTGAGCTCATTTCTCTTGGGTCCTTCATCTAAATCTAATAACCCCAGATTTCAGTCCCATCAGGGAAAAAGGGTCTGTTGGAAGTTTCTCCGGATTCATAGTAATGATATCTTGAGCCAATAAGGAAAGCTTTGTGAGTGTATTCAGCAGAGACCCTGAGGTCAGGCTGACGCTAGGAAAAGAGCACACACACTGCGGGTCTGAAGGCCTCGACAAAGGGAAGACATCACTGCTGTGTGTGCCCAGGCTGTGACTGTGACTGCCTTCTCCACTCTGTGCAAAGCGACCTTGCACTGATCAGAGTTTGCAAACCAACAGAGGTTTCCTTCCTATTTTAAGCCCTGGGTACCAACCTTTCTCTCCATGGATGTCGATGGGCGTGTGATCAGAGCTGACACCTTCTCCAAGATCATCTCCTCTGGGTAAGGCTTGCATCTCTAACATGAAGCTAGCCTCAAGTCTTACAGTTCAAGAGCTTCTTCTCATTTAGAAGGCTTGTATTCCATTTGCCTGAAAATACACTTGATCATTAATAGGCATGGGTGCCCTATACCCTTTCAAGTATTTCACTTGAGTATTATTTTTACAATGAGTATTATGATTTCCCGTGTTCAAAGATGCTTGGCTAGTAGTCTACATTGTAGGAGGATGACCAGCATTTTGGAAACTGCTATTAGATACCATATTTAGAAATTCTTAATAATGCTTATATTGTTTTATCATACATACTTAAATTTAAGTGTTTTTGAAGTAAGAAGTAAGTACTTTGATGGGAATGTTTAAGTCATCAAGATCTACTTGTCCCTAGATCATCACTCTTTTCCTAGTGAAATCACCAAAATGATTCACATTACTTGTATATGTGGGATTGGTATAAAGCCTTTTCTCTTCCTGTGTAGGTTGAGAGTAGGGTTTATGACCGGCCCCAAGTCCTTGATAGAGAGGATTGTTTTACATACACAAGTTTCAACACTACATCCCTGCACTTTCTCACAGGTAAGCACTATTTAGTGTTGTTTGTTTGTTTGTTTGTTTTTTATAAGAATCAGATGTAGGCAAATAAGATTGACTTAAGTTGACAAGGAAGAAAAACCAAATGCTGAATCTCCATTTCCAAGACAGAATTAGCAGACCAGCATCTGCAGAGGTTTAATCTAAGCAGCAAATGAGAAATCATTTAAGCCGAGTATCGTTATGCTGCCTGCCCAGAGTCCTTACAAATCAGGGCATACTCATCTGGGTCTCTGGGAGAACACTCAAAGTCAGTAAATTAATAAACATTAAAAAGGGCGGGGGGCTGGAGAGATGGCTCAGAAGTTAAGAGCACTGGCTGCTCTTCCAGAGGTCCTGAATTCAATTTCCAGTACCCATATGTTGACTCACAACCATCTATAGTGAGATCTGGTGCCCTCTTCTGGTGGGCAGGCATACATGCAGGCAGAATACTGTATACATAATAAATAAATAAATCTTAAACATAAAAAAACCTATGTAGAGCTAAACAAAATAGAACTGAATTTGATGAAGTAATTCAAACAGACTTCATTTTGTTGGAATTACAATGATGTGAAGAAATCAAGCCTGTTCAATGTCTTCCAGTCCATTCCTCAGCGGTTCATCAGAAAGCATTTTAATTATAATAAAGTTAAGTAGGGAGAGTGTATAAATTTCCTCCAAAGCTTTGAAAAAGAACTGGGTTTGGAAATTATTATAATCTTGAGAATTAGAGCTTGCGTGTTCATGCATCTGTACATGGGTTCACATGTGTGTACAGATCAGCAGCCGGCTCCAGAGGTCTTCCTTAATTGCTCTCCACGTTACTTTTTGAGACAAAGTCTTTTAGTGAACCTGGAGCGGCTAGATAGGCTGGTCAGTAAGCCCCATGGATCCTCTCATGTCCAGCTCCCCAGGGCTGGGGATACAATTTCCTGCGGCTGCAGCTGGCTTTTTACTTAAATAATCTGAACTCAGGTCCTTGTATTTGAGTAGCAAATACTTTACTGACTGAACCAGATCTTTGGCCCATAAAACAAAAAGTTTATATCTCATAGGACACACACTTTATGTTGTACATCCTATAAACATCCCCGTGTTTTACTGAACAAAGAACTTTTCTCATATTTTTATACCTTATCAACAAAAGTTTATTACAACAGAGTTCCTCCACCTTAAATAGAAAATCTCTCAATATTTAATAGAATATACCTGCCATATATGTTTAGAGGACTAAGGATATAGCTCAGTGGTTTAATATACACTTAGCAGTCATTTGGTCTTGGGTTTGATCTCTCACACCACCAAAAAGGAAAGAAAGAGAATATCATATATGTTTTCAAATTTGCAGAGGCATTCTAGTCCAGGAGTCAATAGCATGGACCTGGAGCTGGTAAATTTGTCTTGGAATCCAAGCTCTATGAGCAGTTGTTTAGCATAAAGAAAATTAACCTTTCTGCTTCAGTCTCCTTATCAGCAAAACAGAACCAATCTTCTTTAATTATTATGAAGGTTCAAATACTCAGATCTATATTAATAGTCAATACAGAGCCTGGCTCTGTATTCGAGGTAATTTTTGCTTTTTTTTTTTTTTTTTTTTTTTTTTTTTTTTTTTTTTTTTTTTTTTTTTTTTTTTTTTGTCTTGTGTGTGTTTATGGTCATTTGTATATGCATGGGCATGGATAGGCCAGAGGTCAGCATCAGGTGTGTCCATTTCTTTATTTATTTGTTTGCTTATTTTTGAGACAAGAGCTCTCACTGAACCTGCAGCCTGCTCACTAGCCAGCCTCAGGAATTTCCCCTGTCCCCAACACCCCACCACCACCACCCCACACACACCCCTTGCACTAGACTTATAAGTGTACACCATTATGCTCAGCATTTTGCAAAGGCCATGGTGTCTGTACTCAGGCCCACATGCTTCTGCAGTAAGCATTTGATTAACTGAGCCTGTGTCCTGTTGTCGTCCTGGTTTTTAATGAGAGTTTGTTGAAGTGAAGCCAATACGACCCTGGCTCCTTGCTGCATCCTTTTGTGTGTTGGCGAACAAGCAGAAGTGATTGCCTTTTGTGTTTAGAAAGTACAAGCTCGTTGGTGGCGCATGCCTTTAATCCCAGCACTCGGGAGGCAGAGCCAGGCGGATCTCTGTGAGTTCGAGGCCAGCCTGGGCTACCAAGTGAGCTCCAGGAAAGGCGCAAAGCTACGCAGAGAAACCCTGTCTCGAAAAAACAAAAAAAAAAAACAAAAAACAAAAAAAACAAAAACCAAAAAAAAAAAAAAAAGAAGAAATTACAAGCTCAGTTTTGAGAATGAACTCTGACATTTCGACTGTCCTGTCTTTCAGCTAATGATATCACAGCTTCTGTACCAATGGGGAGAAGAGGGCTTCTTCGCTCATGTTGACAGGTACTGCGTCTGCTGTTAGGATTTTTGTGAGCAAAATAGAAGCCCGGAATTCAAAGCACAAACGATCCCAAGTACTGATCTATTATTTTCCCTTCTCTTGTAAAGATTTATCTATTTTTCGTTTGTGTATATGAATGTTTGCTTGTATATGTTTGTGCACCACGTGCCAGGTGCTTGGGAGGCCAGAAGCAGACACTGGATCCCCGGGAACCAGAATTACAGACTGTTGTGAACTAGTTAGGAGATGATTATAAACTGTTAGGTCCATGCTGGGAACCCTACCCAGGTCCTCTGCAGAGCAGCAACTGTTATAGTCATTGAGCCGTCTCTCTATCCCCTTTATTCTTCCTTCTCAAATCACACAAACAGAATAGTCTCTTTCTTTTAGTTGTTTTTCACATAGAAAAAAAGTCTTCTCAGCAGCATTCAACGTCTGGCCTGAACTACTGTCCACCCACACCAACACCACAGTGACTCAGGTTAGGGGTCACCATTTTAGTTGAAAAACTATCCACACACATAAACATTTTAATCGGTAATCAGCTAAGGACATGGGAACTAATTCAAGTAAGGCTGAGTGAAAGCACACTTTGCCTGGTCCTGCTTTTGTTATGGAAATGTGGTATTTCCCCAGTCAGTAGAAACAAGCAGGGACTGATCCCCGCCCTGTTCCTAGACCAGTGACTCAGCGGTTCAGTACAGCTGCCTTTCATCTCCAGTGTCCTCCTTCACTGAAGATGACATCACTTTAGTCAACTAAATGCAAAGGTCTCTCCTGCTACTTCCGCTACACCTAAACTCCATATTTTATAGAGAAATGGATTTTGCTCTATTAATTTTTACTCTTTAAGTTCTCTATAATAAAGGGGGAAAGAATTTTTTTGAAGCTTTTCAGTACACATGTCAAAGCAATACTGTGCTCTCTTATGAAGCAGTCAAAGCAGGAAACTTACAGGCTGGTGTCCAGAGCTCTTCTTGAGTCCGTGGCCAGTGCTCTGAACTCATAATCCTTGTCATTGTCTCCTAGAATCATTGACTTCTACAAGGACCAGCGAAGGGCAATATTAGCAGCTGCAGACAAGTGGTTAAGTGGTGAGTGGAGAGCATCTGGCATTAATATAAATATAAACAGTAGCATCTCTAGAGTGGATTGTTATGCCCAGATCGCAGATACCCCCAAAAGACCACCACGGAGACCGAATCCTGCATGTAAAAGCAAAGAGTCTATATTTCAAGCTCCAGAGCTTGGTCCCTCTGTCTGTCCAACACAGCGGTGAGAGCAGAAAGCCCTGCGCTCAGGTGGGGCAGAGTTTTTAATCATAGCAGAGGTTGGGGTAAGGGGATTTCCAGGGTCCAGGACCCTGATTGGCTGACAATTGTCTTGGGGTATCTGTAATACAAAAAAATGGGTGTATGATAGACTCAGGGACATCTGGCCACCTTACCTAATGGTTGGAATGTTTGGGGTGTCAGGTACTTCCTCACCCCTGGGTAGATCCCTGGGTGGTATCAGAGCAAGGCTTTTCCTGGATCTGGGTGTTGCCGGCCAGTAAGCCAGTCATGGAATCTGTGTCTAGGCCCCTAAGCCTGTCATGGCTGCTGTGTGGTCAAGCTATTTTGGGGCCCCTTCACAGGGTGACAGACAGACCACAGCATGTGACCAGTCCTGGTGTGGGAGAGACGGTAGTGGAGGTGCTTTCTGGCAGAGGAAGGGCTGCCCTAAGGATAATCAAGTACCACATTGTCAACCCTTGAGTTCTATCATCTCCGCCATCATGCTGGAAGTTTGGGGTGTTTTTTTGTTTGTTTGTTTGTTTTTAAGTCAGGGTCTCATGTAGCCCAGCCTAGCCTTGAACTTCTGGCTCTCCTACCTCCAGTTCTCAAGTGCTCAAACTGTAGATGTATACTACCACACCCAATTTATGAGGTGCTGGCAATGGAACCTGGGACCTCATGCATTCAAGGCAAGCACCCTATACACTGGGCTACCTGTTGACAACAGATTTTGTGGTTCTAAGGAGACAAAAGAAAAACAAAAACGAAAACAAAAAAACAAAAAAAAAAAAAAACCTCAGTCAAAAAATTAGCGAGCAATATTACCACAGCTGAAGAAAACCCATCTTCAACAAAAACTTTCAGAGATTTAGTTGTTTCAAAATTTTGTTCCCTGTGGGGTGTTTACCCACCACCCCCACAGCTTCCCAGAGTTTTCTTGAGTGTGAGCAGCAGGAAATATTAGATAGAAGGATTTATAGCGGAGAATCTTGAGATAAACAGATAGAAAATAAAGGATAGCCTCGAGAGGGCCTGGAACCTATTCCAACGGGCCCGGACTGTCTCTGGTCCAGGGTTTTTATAGAGACGCCAAGGGGTGGAGCAAAAGACCTCCTCCCCCAGCACAGCCAAGTGCAGACCATCTCAGACACCTGCACTCAGGCCCGTGGTCCTGATCATCCTCTATTTGGACCTGCTGGGTAAAGCCACGAGGAACCCCAGAACGGGCTCCCACAGTTCCCAAAATGCTTTGTTTCTAACTAAGAACAAAAACAAGTGGTATGGTATAATTTCAAACTTGTTAAAATCCTTTGCCTTCTATTCATTAGCCACAAATATTTGCTTAATATTTTCTATTGTTTCTTCTAATTTAAGATGGTTTTTTTTTCATGGAAAGAAGTCAGAGAAATTACCCAGTTTTAATTATACCATTAAAAGTGCAAATGGTGTAAAGGTTAATAAGTCAGAAATTTCGGTGCCTTGTGTCTGTCATCTATCATTCTCTGTAAAGTTTTCACTTAAAACAGAACTATATCTGTATGATAAGAGTGCTTTCCTACCATTTTGTACAAGAATGGTGGCAAAATATTATTGTCAAGATTTTTTAAGTAATTAAAATCAAAATACTTGTCCTTTCTCCTCAGTTTTTCTGTCATCATATTTACCCGTAAAGCTTACAGATGCAGCTGGAATTCTTGGGTTTAAGTACTTTTATCCCAATTAATTACATTTCTGCAGAAATTAATCCATCTGGGCATCCAAACTATTACATAAATAATAGGATTTACGAAATCCAAGGAAACTCTAGAAAGAATTGAAGAATCAACTTTAAAATTGAAACAGCCATTTGTCTTAGGTGTGAGTGTGAGTCTAACTGCGTGACAGACAGACAGACAGACGCGTTGAATTTCTTGCTCTCTCTGAAGGCTGACAGCACTCACTGCACACGGGAGCTGCTGTCTCCCCATGCTCAGCCGCTGACCCCAACCCTGAGTTCTTTAAATAAACCCAGGGCATCAGTTCGGCCGTCTTGCCAAATCGTGTCTTTGAGACACTTTCACATCAACCAGTTATCTCGAAGAACGTATTTCCAGTCACTGCACCTGTGCTGTTGGAACTGGAAGTTTGGCGTCATCAGAAATGTCCGGAAGATGCTGTCTCCTTTTGTTCGTAGGTTTGGCCGAGTGGCACGTTCCCAAAGCTGGGATGTTCCTGTGGATTAAAGTAAAGGGAATCCCCGATACAAAACAACTGATTGAAGAAAAGGCTATCGAAAAAGAGGTAAAAGTGGGAGGGGACTAGCAGAAAATGTCTGCTATTTCTTTGAACTAATTCTCTTCAAATAGGGTAAAAAGATGTTTTATGGCCCAGCCACTTGTGATGTTGGGATTATTATTATTAATTATTTCATCATTAAATTATAATACATTTTGAAGTTACCGTTCAGATGGGCTAAATGGATAGAAATACAGTCATTCTCATCAGTCCCCAATTTCAGACATCCTCCTTGGGTTCGATTTCAGAGTCTCCCCTGACCATGTATGTAGCTTTGGGTATCTTGCACTCCTGTGATTTACTGAAAAAGACAGTAAGAGCCCTTTCCTGGGCCAGCAAGACAGCCAAGCAGGTAATCCTGGTGCTTTGGGTTTCTGTTGCTGTGAAGAGACACCATGACCACAGCAACTCTTATAAAGGAAAATGTTTAATGGAGTGGCTTACATTTTCAGAGGTTTATTCCATTACCATCATGGTAGAACATGGTGCTGGAGAAGTAGCTGAGAGTCCTACATCTTGGAGGCAACAGGAAGTGGACCAAGACACTGGGTGATATCTTAAGCATATGAGACCTCAAAGCCCTCCTTCACAGTGACACACTTCCCCAAAAAAACCTCCAAATAGTACCATTCCCTTTGGGGGCCATTGTAGCAGGCTTTTTTTTTTTTGTAACTTCCAGCCCCCAAATCATTATACAGAGATTTATTATTAATTATAAAAGCTTGGCCTATAGCTTAGGCTTGTTTCTAACTAGCTCTTATAACTTAATTTAATTTAGCCTGTTTCTATTCATCTATGTGTTGCCACGTGACTCATGGCTTTTACCTCTCCTCCTGCATCAGGCTGGTGACTCTCTTTCTTTTTCCCAGAGCTCTCTGTCCCCAGAAGTCCTGCCTAACCTCTTCCTGCCTATCTAATGGCCATTCAGTTCTTTACTAAACCAATCATAGTGATGCGTCTTCACACAGTGTAAAGGAATATTCTGCAACAGGCCATTTTCGTTCAAACCACCACACCTGGTAAGCAGGTAAGGCTTGCTGTGCTAAGTCTGGCAACTGGCCTGAATTCAGTCCTGGAACTCACACAAAGGTGCAGGAGAGGATCCGACTCCACAGACTTGTCCCCACACCACCACACGCACACGATTGCTTGCACACCCACACACATTCACTCATGCACAAACAGGAGGAATCCTGCCCCATCAAGTCCAAGTCCTGGTCATGATTAGGTGGCCTTTACATTTCAAAGTTCCTCCCTGAAAGACTGGTCCCCACTCTTTCTTAGGCCAACATCTAGTTGTCTTTCGGGTCCCAGTTAGAAATCTCAATGTTTGCGTTTGTATTAGTTTTGTAGACAGGTTAGCCACTTATTCTTATCTTACCATTTCTTTCTACCCTGTCCTCTTTACATTGAAACTTAAGCGTTGGTGTTTTCTTCTCACTTTCTATGCATTCTTTATATGTGGAGAAGAAATAGCATTGGTCATATCGATGGTAAATAATTTTCCCAATTCTATGCACTCAGGTTTGTCTATTGCATGCCATATGTATTTTTGTATGATGTTTTTTTTGTTCTCTGTTGTGATTTATTACTTCAATAATGGCTTTTAAGCTTAAAATATTCCTCCCTAACAGTAATACTGCATTTCTATAAATTTTCTTTTAGTTTTTCTTCAGTGGTATAACCACGTATTTTCTGCAACCCTTCACAGGTCTTATTTGTTCCTGGAAATGGTTTCTTCATCAACACCTCAGCCCCAACTTCCTTCTTCAGAGCATCCTTCTCTCTGGCTAGTCCAGAGCAGATGGATATAGTGAGTATGCTCCTTAGTCACACAGCCTCCTGGTTCTGATGTTGGATGTGTGTGCTCCCCTTGTAAGTTAGAAATGATTTCATGTCTTCTTACACTTCTGAAAGCCAGGTTTTAGTGAACCAGTCACGAACTGTCACTAGGCATCTGTAAGGCAAATAAAACTAGAGTTGAAGTTCATCGTCTCTTCCAGTAACGAGCCAGAACTTACTGAACTGTACTGGCGGGGGAGCGGTCCAACAGGTTCTGGGGTAGTGTCTTTTTCTTCCTTCTTGGAATCACTTAAAAGGAAGAGTAAAATCATAAGCCACTGGCCTGTTTCTCTGAAGAAAAAAGGACTAAAAAGATAGTAAGAACTGTGTGCAGAGAAACACAAGAGGAAAAGCTAGTAACCAAGCACTGCCTTTGACCTTCAGAAGTGTGTGTGTGTGTGTGTGTGTGTGTGTGTGTGTGTGTGTGTGTGCCAGGACAGGCCCCCTATGTATCCTCTCTTTTCTTCAGAAGAGTGTGTATGTGTGCCGGGACAGGCCCCCTGTGTATCCTCTCTTTACTTCAGAACTGTGTGTATGTGTGCCGGGACAGGCCACATGTGTGTGCTCTCTTTACTTCAGAAGTATGTGTATGTGTGCCAAGACAGGCCTCATGCGTGTGCTCTCTTTACTTCAGAAGTATGTGTATGTGTGCCAGGACAGGCCTCATGCGTGTGCTCTCTTTACTTCAGAAGTGTGTGTATGTGTGCCGGGACAGGCCACATGCGTGTGCTCTCTTTACTTCAGAAGTGTGTGTATGTG